TTATTTTTTTCCTATGGGAGTCAAGTAAGCATTGCGACTGTGATTAGTGAATCAGGGATGCAATGTAAAGCTTCTGCAGACAATCTCTGCAGCTTTCAGCCCCTACCTCCACACAGGCTGTCATTTACAAAGTTGTAGGGCTTGTGAATGAACTACAAGGTCGCTTATTATTGTTATTATACAGGGTTTATATAATGCTGACAGTTTACGCAGAAGCTATACAATATAAGGGGGACAGTATAATTACAATACCGTTTGATACAGAAGGAATTGGAGGGCCCTGCTCATGGAGCTTACAATCTAAATGGAGGGGAAGTTCACTGAATGAACTGCAAGCTGTCTGCTGCAATGGATGATGATACTTGTAGTTCATTCATTTACAGAAAACTGTGAATGAATGACATGGCCATGTGATTGGGGCCCCTCATAGCCATGCTATTTTTAAACTGTGACAACTGGTGTGATTGGTGACACACTGAGGGGGTGGGGTGGGGGGGGTGGGGGGAAGATCACTTGAGCTGGATGATGTTACAAGTTCCATCCTAAATACGGGTGGAACATGCAACATGTTCCAAAAGTGAGCTTATCCTTTAATATGAGATACGTTACATTTAGGATGGGTTCATACTACTGTACCAGACAGCTACCAGAGTGCTTTACCACTCCTGCAGCTGGTTCTTCAAAGCTGTGGTAGTGGGCAGTATGGTGCGTGATTCAGCTCCCTTTGTTTGCTTTGTACAAATTTTATTAAGTGTACAAAATTTACACTTTATTCATGGCATTAATGGAAAGAAAAACTGCACCAAGTGCTTAAAACAAATATAAAAATATTACAAATAGCACAGACACACTCAAACTCAAAAATACAAATGTTCCAAAAAATATATTATAGAACTGTTGCGCTATGAGTGAACCATGAGCACCTTTCCAGGTGCATAAAATAGTGATTCAACAAACTAATAATAAAGTATTGTCACCACTTGTGAAAATATAATAAAAAAATCACAAAAAGTCCATCCATGAATATCTGGAATACACCTGTGACTCACTCATTCCACACAGCTTCTTACTGACGACAATGAAGACCCCAGGGTATAGGTGGTCTGTGTAAAGCTCAGAGGTGTGTCAACTTTGCAGCAATGATTCCTTTCGCAGTGGGGGCACAGAGCATACCGACAAGACACTGTACCATAAATCTCCTCTCTGACAGTTTAACCCAATAAAAGGAAACAGATGACAGCCTCCAATAGTGAAATACCGTTGGATTTATTAGAATAAAAACTGCATACCTACCCACATATTGTCCTTAATGCACATATCACATCCAGCAAAAACAATGCTGCTAATACAGGCTCCAGGAGGCATGGTGACACCAACATACGTATCTGAAAAAATGTTTTCAAGATCGGCTGAGTGTGCTAACAGCTCATGCACTTAAATAGACAGTTCTGAGCCCATGAGTGCTTCCTTTACATCCAAGCTTCTGCTACTTTATTACCAAACCCAGGACTGGGATCTTCTGCCCCGGGCAGTAAAATGCAGTAAAACGTCTGTCATAGCATACTATGTGAATTAGCCCTTTGCTTGGTAAAAACAGGTTTGAATAAAAGACCCTCTTTGTCTCATAAATTAGAAATTCCAAGACTATACTCTGCTGCAGTAAGGACAGAACTGATCTCTCCAACTCTTTATGATGTAAACGTGACTGCTGAAGCAGAGTCCTCTTGAAACTTCATGGGGGAAAGAGTCTTGATTTCTATTTTTAGTTGATTTGGTGTCTTCATCAGTGGAGGTTCGATTAAAAATTAATACATTAGTAGAGGCCTTTTTTAGTATTGTGCTATTTTTTATTCTATTCTGATGCCTTATTTTTATTTCTATTTTTCTTTATTCCAGGGAGGATAAATCTTTTAGTCCTTGAGACTTTATCCAAAATTTTATCAAACTATGAACCAGGCAAAACACCCCTGACAAAAAGGGACACAAACAATATTTGGCAGTAACGCCACCAACACAATGCCCTACTAAAGCCTCAGCTACCAAAAAAGAAAAAGAAAACTTCAAATGTCTATGCAAAACAGGGACTGTAGGATTTCCTCACTGGGTGCACCCTTTTGGAGGACTTCTAACTGATTTGCCCATCTATGATAAGGTCTGGCTACGCAGGTTTCCCCCACATTTCAGGCCTGATGCTTCCCATGATAGTTAAATTAAACCTTCCATTTTTTTATCCAACTTATTTTCCCAGCTCTCAAATGGCAATGGAGATTGTTTCTTATTTAGAAACTTTGACAGGGTAAACATTATCCTGAATATTCACCACCATATCCTAAAAAAAAACTTGGAACACCTTCCAGAGCTACTATTTATCTTGGACAGAAATGGCAATGCAGTTTGGAGTAAGAGGTTGACATTTTTTTGAGACAGCAGCAGAGGCTGTAGGGGTAGAGATTTGCTGATGCATATAAATTGAAAATATCACAACAGACTACTACAGACCTTCATCTCATGTCTCATCATCCTCTGAAACCTATGCTTACAGGAGAACATGAAGCAAAGTTGTGGCGGTGACTGACGATACCTTTAAAAACATCATTCTGCACTGCAAAGCCTAAAGAAAGTGGCCTAAAAAGAGCTACTCCCTTCCATAATGCCTAGAATGGATCTTATAGAGTTTGCACTTCCCCCTAAGTTTGAGGAGGAGACCCACAGCCTACTCCCAGTAGACAAGTATGCCCCCTTTCATTCCACTTGCAAAGGAAATCTCTTGTTCTGTCTTGCCATGAAGGAGGAAATGGAAATACCATTTTTTTTCCCTAATTGTTCTCAAACAGCCATAATTGTAACATTGTTATTATGTATTCCTATACTCTGATGGCTGATAAAAGACTTGCCATGAGCACATAATGTCTGTTTGATCATGACACTAATCCTTTTAAACCAATGTTCCATGCATCCCCTTAGCATGCCTAATAAACTACATTTTAGTCTGTAATAGTCTGTCACATCTCCCCCAAGTCTACACTACCTCATCCCTAAATATAATGAAGCAGGAAGGGAGGCAGCAAATCCCACCCAACTGCATTATGAATATGAATCCATGATGGAGTATTTTTTTTATATATCACAACTATCCAGGTGGATTACTTGTTTTTTTAATTTTTAGGACAAATTGGACTTCCCTGTGGTGGTAAATTGTAATGGATATCTCCTGTTCATTTTTGTTTGTTTTTTTTTAATCAAAGGAAAGGAAAACTGGCCCAAAGTAGTAAAAAAAAATATTTTTTACTTTAACAATATATTTTCATACCCTACCACAAATGAACCACCCAAAGTGAATTCTCTTGCTCCTGGCAATTGCAGTGATTCCACATATGTGTAAGCTATTTTTTGTTTGCACCCGTAGTACAGCTCAGAAACTATACAATTTGCTTTTTTTTTTTAATCCTACTTAAAATACACTGTCCCTGACTGATACTAATTTAAACATTTTCTTTCAACCCTACCCATAATATACTGACCCTGACCTTTGACCCCAGTTTTGACCCTTTTCTTGACCCTAACACTAACCCTGCCACTGACCTAGATCAAACCTTGATCTAGCTATTTTTTTGCTATTTTTTTTGTTTTTTTAATACACTTTTGTTTGTTTATATCTTTCCCCCCTACAAGGAGAGAAAGATACAATGTATCTTGCTCTCCATTCAGAGGGGAAAAAAAAAACACGAGTGAGCTGCATAATGACTCATTACTGTGACAGCCAATCAGAGGCTATCACAGCGATCAGGTGACCTGGAACTGGGAGTCCCTGATCCCAATCATTAGTACAAGATCTGGGACACTGAGTGAGAGCCCGGCCTCTGTGCTGGGAGTGTGTCATGCAGCAAGCTCCTAGAACAAACACAGGTATGCATATAAGTGGCCTCACAGATAAAAACCCACTTCAGTGAGGCCACATATATGTGTGCAGTCTGTGGGAAGGGGTTAATGGCTAAGGTGGGGAGGGGGAGTGATGGAGAAGGTTTAGAGAGTGAAAGGGATGGCAGATATAGACTCACTCAGCTCCTGCTGTGACAGTATGATTAGGGCCCAGCTGTTACTTTGACAATCAAGTGCAGATTTGCGTGGTTCCTCTAGGAATGCATCCTGCAAATCCTGAATTTAAAACAACACTGTAATAATATTTTTACAGTGAATTTTACCTGATTCTGTTATGTGCAGATTAAAGGAGTACCCTTTGAATTGTACGTAATGTCCACTCCAGCAACCTTAAAGTGTATTTCCCCTTTTACAATCAAATTGGGATAACATTGACTTTTATATTTGTTACATGTTCTCATTCACATAGCAACTGTCGTTTCCCTCTGCTATGCAGAGGAGAGACTGGGGAATTATTGTTTACCACAATTAAAACATTATGGAATTTGCTTGCAGCTCTCATTATCAGTTGTAAACTAGATTTGAATACACAAGTTAATGTGTCCTTCTTTGTCAATAGGGACAGAGTTTCTTCCCATTTCAAATTGATCAGAAAAGCTTGCAGTCTGCCAGAGACCTGCTTCAAACAATCACTTAGAAAGATAAGGAAACTTTTTTAACTACTTGCCAACCGCAGATAGCCGAATGACGGCTGCACTGCGGCCGGCCAGTTCTGGGTGGGCGTCATATGACGTCCTCCCAGAACGCGCTCTCCTGCGCGCCTCTGGGGGCGCGCACCCGGCGATCTACGGACACAGCTGATCATGTGATGTGGTAAAAGGCCAATCACAGCGGCCTTTTACCACGTGATCACCTGGAAATGCAATTGCCGGTTCTCGGCTGCACTTTCCTCATGCTGCCAGATCGTGAGGAAAGTACTGCCAAGAACCGGCAGTTGTTAAAGCAGGGATCGGCACCGATCATCAGGGCACTGATGATCGGTGCCCTGATGATCGGTGCCTAGCAGTGCCACCCACATGTTTTGCCCACTTGTGCCCAGCAGTGCTCCCACTAACTCCGCCCACCTGTGCCCAGCAGTGCGCCCACTAACTCCACCCACCTGTGCCCAGCAGTGCATCCACCTGTGCCCAGCAGTGCACCCACCTGTGCCACCCAGTGTCACACAAGTGTGCCCAGAAGTGCCACCTACCTGTGCCCAGCAGTGCCACCCACCTGTGCCCACCAGTGCCACCCACCTGTGCCCACCAGTGCCCATCAGTGAAGCCCAGCAGCGCTGCCAGTCAGTGGCACCAGTCAGTGCCCAGCGGTTCTGCCAGTCAGTGCCCAGCAGTGCCGCCAGTCAGTGCCCAGCAGTGATGCCAGTCAGTGCCACCTATCAAAGCTGTCTATCAGTACCCATCATCAGTGTCGCCTATCAGTGCCGCCTATCCGTGACACCTCATTAGTGCTGCCTATCAGTGCCGCCTTTCTGTGCCACCTCATTAGTGCTGCCTATCAGTGCCCTTCAGTGCTGCCTATCAGTGCCGCCTATCAGTGCCCATCAGTGCTGCCTCATCAACGCAAATCAGTAATGGAGAAAAATTACCTGTTTGAAAAATTTTATAATAGAAACAAAGAAACTTATTTTTTTTTCAACTTTTTTGCAATTTTTTGTTTATAGCGCAAAAAGTAAAGAGCCCAGCGGCGATTAAATACCACCAAAAGAAAGCTCTATTTGTGAGAAAAAAATGATAAAAATGTCATATGGGTACAATCTTGCATGACCGCGCAATTGTCAATCAAAGTGTGACAGCGCTGAACGCTGAAAATTGGCCTGGTAAAGAAGGGGGTATAAGTGCCCGGTAGGCAAGTGGTTAATATATACATATTTAGGTATGCTGTGTGAGTGGGAATATATAACATATAATTTGTTTTTCTCTAATTTGACTGTAAAAGAGGAAATTATTTTTATAAAAGGATTTTTTTTAAATAAAATGTGTTTCCTATATAACCATATTTTGACCCGTTTTTTCCTAATACACATCAATTAACTCCTTCTTCCCCTTTGCTTTTTTTGCTATTTGTATTTAATATTTTTCTTTTTGTTTCTATTGTTTGTTCTAATTTGTAATGTTACATATAAACACATTAAACATTTTTTGTAGATGTATTTTTTTTCCTATTGGGTACTGAGGGCACCATATCAGTGTCTGACTCAGGCAGCACAGCTGCTGCAACCTCTCAAACTTCAATTCAGCTATTGTTCTTAATACCAATAAACTACTGAAACCTATAAATGAAAAATTAGCACTCAAGCATGCAAATCTGTGTTTTAGGCTTACACTGCTATAACATTAAAAAGTTAAAGTAAATGCAAATAAAAGTGTTTTTTTTCTTCAAGAGCATTTACATATATTGCATTTATTCATAGCACATCTTAGTACATCAACTGCAAAATAAAATCCTGAACAAATGTATTTACTGTGGTTGAAGTTTATAAATGGGATTCTTCAAGAGCTTGGCAAGAAGAAAGCACTTGAACAAAAGAGATAGATCTTCATCCATCATGACCATGTACCAGCCATTGTTGCGGAGTTGAATAGCTTTCTGTCACCTTGTGATAATATATTGTTAATGTGCAGTGTGAGTGTACTATCTTTTCATAACTAGTATGTGTCATGTCTACCAGATTACTAAAACAAGGAAACAACTTTATCTCAGAGTGGTCACTACTGGCTGGGTTTGAAATTGTTACATTTTCTAAAACACATCAATACATAGCTAGTATAACACAAAGGCTTCTGACATTTCTTCCATTTCCTTTTATTAAGTGATCATAAGAGTGAAAAAAAGTCTTATTTCGTAGACTATTATAATATCTTTAAGGTTAAAATAAAGACGGTAACCAGGTTCTTATGCAAAACATCAGTAGCATGGGGGTTTACTAAAACTGCATGGTGCAAAATCTGGACCAGCTCTGCATAGAAACCAATCAACTTCCAGGTTTTATTGTCAAAGCTTAATTGAACAAACTGAAGTTAGAAGCTGATTGGCTACCATACTCAGCTTCACCAGATCCTATGTGCACCAATTTTAGTAAATCTCCCACATAGTTTATTTATAGACTATTGGTTGTAATATAGGTTAAGCATTCTGATGTGGATGATTATTTTAGGCACCCAAAACTAAACCTTAAACATTTGGTTGTAGGGCTTTCCAACATTTTTCTGTCCCTTTCTTTATCATCCATGCCTATATTATACACATATCACCAGGGGCGGACTGACCATTTGGAAACTAGGGCACTGCCCGAGGGCCTGGGGTCAGTAGGGGGCCCCATGAGATGCCCCTGGTACCTTTTTCATAGGCTTTTTTAATTTCAAGTATTTTTGTTGAAATATTTTAATACAATACAAAACAGTATATATCAGTACGGTTCACAACTGGGTACATACATACTTCAAATGGAAAAAAGAAAATTCCCCACCAATTGGCTGGGGATATATGGGCAAATATCGAGTGTCTCAGAAGATGTTGTTTGTTTAGTGTGAACCCATTAGGTGTGAAATATTGTAAAAGGTGGAGAGGGACAGGGTGGGAGGGGGAGAGGAAGGGGGGGACACCAGTCTAGGACAAAGGGGTCGCAATTTTAAAAATGTATGTATATATTATCATCTTATACAGCCGTTGGGCTTTTGTAGCCATCGAGACCATGGGGTATTGAATTTGTGATGGGATGAGTTATTGAGGGCCGATCTTCTTTCCATATCGCATTGGAAATTCAGGTCTGCTATAAGGGCAGAGAGAGAAGGAGTTGTGGAAGATTTCCATAGCTTAGTGATGTTAAGTTTTGCGGCTGCTAACATGTGGATAATGACGGTACGGGATTTGGAATTTAATTTGTCGATTCCAATATGGAGAAGTGCGAGAGCAGGATTAGGAGCCACTTGGGTTCCATCAACTGAGGAGATCAAGTGGAAGATATTGTTCCAGTATGATCTTAGAGATTTGCAGGTCCAAAGTATCTGTAGAGTTGATCCTATTTCTCAGCATTGTCTCCAGCAAGCGGATGAGTGGTGGGGATAATATAAAGAGAGTTTGACAGGTGTAAAATCCCACTGGTGTAAAATTTTCATGTCATGTGGGAGCTACATCTAGACGCTTTATGTGTGATGTTAAAGGTGTTTTCCAATATGTGAGGTTGGATTGATTGTGAGAGAATTTTCTCCCAGTTGGATAGAGAGGTGGATTGTAGGGTAAACAGAGACCTGGATATAAGCGTGTAAAAGGTCGAAAATCCTTTCTTAGGGTATTGCGCTTTATTAAGGAAGAGATACGCGGTAGTAGGAACCTTCAAATGATGCAAACATTCATCTCTTGTAAGGAGTGAGCTATCCTCAAGTATGTGAAGATTTCACTTTCAGGTAGGTGACACTTCTCTTGGATGATCGGGAAGGAGTTTATTGTGTGGTTTGTATAAAGGTCTTGTATACAGAATATACCTTGATTTTCCCAATGTAAGAGGTTCAAAGAAGGGGTAAGAAAGTGTAGCACGTTGATCGGGGTCGGTATTGTTTTTGATTCTGGTGAGTTACATAATAAGAGGTCATACCAGGCTTGTAAGGAGGCTCGGATGCAAGGGTGTTTGGGTAGATTTCTGGGTTTAGAAGGATGTGGTAGGAACCGAATGTCACGTAGCGGTGACGGAAGGTGGGGAAGTGTTTCCATAGTGGTCCACGTTTTTTCGATATTTGGGTGCCACCAATAGTGGAGTTGGTCTATAAGTAAGGCATTATAGTATAATTTTAAGTGTGGAAGGCCTGCCCCTCCTCTAGAGGTTGGGCATATAAGGAGGTTTGTTGTATATCTGGGTTTCTTTGAGTTCCAGAGGAATTTAGCAAGTATTGCTTGTAGTTTGGAGAAGAAAGTGTTGAGGACGGATATAGGAAGTGTGCGAAAGATGTAAAGGATTTTGGGCAGTATGCACATTTTTGGAGCAGCTACCCTTCCCAATTTCGATAATGTGGACATGCGTAGGTTTTTAAGTTCTTGAGGGATGGATTCGAGTAGTCATTTATGATTTGAGAAGTAAAGTTGGTCTGTCGAGGTGGTGAGTTTAATTCCCAGATAAGGTATGCTGTGTTGTTCCCATGAGAAGGGAAAGCGTTGGAGGAGTATTTTCTGGAGCTTAGTAGGTATATTAAGATTTAAGATAGAGGATTTGGGCCCATTGAGTTTGTAGTATGATATTCTGAATATTTTTGAAGATGTGTTTGGATCGTTTGGAGTGATTTGTGTGGATTGGTAATCATTAGAGATGAGCGAAGTATTCAAAAATTTGATTCGACTGATTCGGCGAATTCGTGAAAAAATTTCGATTCGAGTCGAATATATTCGCTGCGAATTTAACTTATAAAAGGGTGTTTCTAGGCTTCAGAGAGCCTTTATATTAGTGCAGAACACTGTACCTTTAATTTAAATGCCCTTGGAGTCTGCTGGGGAAGAGAAATAATACTGACAGTCAGTATGACATGCAGATGAGTGCCGTCGATCTTAGAATCACCGCACACTTCACTCATTTGGGCAATCACGGGGCCAAAACCAGAGTGTGGAGCCACAGTGTGGCGGTGGAGGCAGCAGCAATGGGAGGCCATACAGCACCCTATGACAAAAATGGAAACACCAGCAGTGTGTGAGGAGACCTGAAAGTGGCACATGGCAGAGTGTGGCGATGGAGACAGCAGCAATGGGAGGCCGTACAGGGACCCATGACACACTCTGGACCTGGCAGCAGCATGAGGAGGCGGTACAGGGGCCCATGACAGATTACGGGCCTGGCAGCAGCATGAGGAGTTGGTACGGGGGCCCATGGCAGATTACGGGCCTGGCAGCAGCAATGGGAGGCCGTACAGGGACCCATGACACACTCTGGACCTGGCAGCAGCATGAGGAGGCGGTACAGGGGCCCATGACAGATTACGGGCCTGGCAGCAGCATGAGGAGTCGGTACGGGGGCCCATGACACACTCTGGACCTGGCAGCAGCATGAGGAGGCGGTACAGGGGCGCATGACAGATTACGAGCCTGGCAGCAGCAACTTGGACAGGAGGACGTTCAGCTTCTGCACCGTCGGGTGCGTGCTCGCAAACTGTTGTCTCTTGGAAACGGATTCCAAGAAAGACTGCTGACGGAATCCGTGAAGAGGAGTAGCAGGAGAAGGAGCATCTGAACGAGCGGAATATGCCAACAAGCGACAACAGGGGCCCATGACAGATTACGGGCCTGGCAGCAGCATGAGGAGTCGGTACGGGGGCCCATGGCAGATTACGGGCCTGGCAGCAGCAATGGGAGGCCCGTAATCTGCCAGCACCATATGACAAAAAATGGAACACACCAGCAGTGTGTGAGGAGACCTGAAAGTGGCACATGGCAGAGTGTGGCGATGGAGACAGCAGCAATGGGAAGGCCGTACAGGGACCC